CCAGTGGGGACATACTTACTGATTATAATGACTTTTACTGTCTTTTTACGCGTTGCGTTGCATTGTGCCGCGTAAACATAAAACCCTGTCTGCATTTGTGATCAGAGAGATGACAAACAACAAGTGCTAACGTTAATCCACACTGCCCAAAACTCGCGTTTGAATCATCAGTGGCAAATGATAAAAGAAAACGTACTTACGTGAGTCAGAACTGCCGGCATTTTAGTCTAACGTTACTCTCCCAGGATCAGTAAACAGTCCTCCATAAAATGTGCTGGCGATCCACAGCACTAAGTTGAACACATTTTTGAGTGTTTTGTGAGAATTAAATAATGTGAGGAGGACATTAATTTTTCTGTCAGGATTAAATGAGATGTCATTGGTTAATATTATTTCCCCCCAGCTGCACAACCTTGGTTACATTTTATTGAAAGTTTGACTATAAAAACAATTAGTTTTCTTTAGAATAACCTGCAAGTGATTTTTTATTTATTTAATAATAATGCACAAAAAGGCCCAGATACTTCAGAAAGCAAATTGCTCACATTTTTTTATTTTCTCTAACATTTAGAAACCAGTCATTGTCTTGACTTTGGTGACTGTTTCATTGTTCTTTGAAACCGATCTAGCATTTGACAGTTTAGTGGCGATTCTTAACTGGACACTGGCATGGATTTTCAATGTAAAGTTATTTTTTTGTCCCCACCCTTACAGCTGACACCAAACGAGGAAGCGTTTCTGCGGAATTATGCAGGCGTGGTGCACAGCCAGATGAGTCAGTTGCCACAGCACCCTATTGACCAGGGTAAGTCAACATTTACAGCCTGAACACCGCAGGCCAAACCTCCACCCTTTACCACGAACACTCTTATTTACCGAGGTACTGTAGTTCTTATCACACTGGACATTGGAATATTAGAAGAATTATTGTCTTTCTTGATTGTTTAGATTATATTTGGAAATGGTGTCATTAAAATGTCATGTATGATAGAGCAAGTTGACTCTAGATCATGTATAAATTGGATTTGAACAAAGGTGAAATAGGGATTTTGTAAAAAAAACTACCAACTTTTTATAAAATTATTAGCACATTAAAACTATGTAAAAATGTGTATATAAACAATATAAAATATTTTATATAAATATTTTAATCATATTTGGAGAGAGAGAGAGCGTATATATATATGTGTGTGTGTGTGTCTGTGTACTGGAAAAAAAATAGCATTTTTGTATATTTTGGACATTGTGCTGTAGCTCGCTCCACAAGGAGGCGCTAGCACAACATAAATGTTCAGGTAGGCAGTTTAAATGCTATATATATTGTAGGGTAATTTCCTCTGTTTTCAGCTGAGATGATCAGCTGATCTATAGGTTTAATGTGAAAGAACTTCACTTAGTTGCTTCATATGTCATAGTAAGAATGAAACTGTAATGCTCTGTCTTACTAAGATGCATTAACTGTCAGATCGCATGCTCTGTGATGTGATTTTTTTTTTTCGACGGGAAAAAACAAGTCTTAACGATGTGAATAACTAGGTGTATAGAAGAATGGAGCACACATTTTGTTTTCATTAAATATGCATATGAGCCTGGTTGTTAGGCAAGGATACCAATGCTGTGCTCTTTTTGGAAGGATCTTCATAAATAATGCAGTAGCAGAAGAAAGATGGATGTAGATGTCAATATGTGCTGTGCTTCTGGGAGTTTTCTAGCTCAAATTACTTTTTGTGAAGATCTGTGTGTATGTTTGCTCCAACGTTAGGAAATATTCCATCGTCGATGAGCCAACATTCTGATGAGTGATTTTTAAGACGTTGTGATGTTTCTAGAATAAGAAATGTAAATGCCAGCTCTTAGATGAAAGCGATCAGTAGACGCTTGTGGTCTCCTGCAGTATAATGAGGGTGAGATGAAAGGGAGAACGCACTTAATGAACAACACACAATGAAGTACAATAACCTTTGTTTAAAGCACAGACGAGGAGGGCCGTCAGGAGTATGTTAGGGGAGTATCATCAAGATTAGTTTCTATTAGGAGAAACTGTGACTCTCATTCTCTGGCATACAATCTGTGTGAACCCTTAAATAAAGCTTGTGCTAAAAATGCTAGAGGTCTGTTGAGGTGAATTGGAATGTGTTTAGTAGTAGTCGCTTATTTTAGTTCAAATTAAACGGATAATGTAGGATCACAACACAGCTATCTGAGGTTTTAACTAATGTAATATTGGAGCAAATGGATGGCACTTCAGATCTACACATGCTAATGCTTTCTCTCTCACATCAGGCAAAATAGTGCCACATCTCGGGGGACTATATCGCAGTTGGATGAATTATTTACGTATCAAGCTGTCTCAGAGGGCTGCCTGTGTTTGCATCCAACACCTTGGAAAATGTGCAGACATGGCTATATTTGTTTCTAATAACGCTTGCAAAAAAGAAACATGCTATATGGCTTTATATTTAAAGTCATATGATGCGATTTCAATTTTTCCTTTCTCTTTGAAGTGAAGTGATACAAGCTCTTGGTGCATAAAGAAGATCTGTAAAGTTGCAAAGACTAAAGTCTCAAATCCAAAGAGATATTCTTTATAAAAGTCATATGACCCCTTTAAAGGTATGAATGATCTGTAGGCCTCTCAGATTTCTGGGGTCAATTAAAGGGTTGCTATCTGTACAGTTAACAAGAACCATCTAATGAAAATAGTTCATTTGTGTTGAGCACATTTGTGTGTAGAATAGACTCGGACCACTGAGGCTGACCATTTCTCTTTCTCAATGGCTATTGTTCTCACGTGAATAATGACTTCTGTGTTTAACTGTTTTTTTTTTTTTTTTTTTTTTTTTTTTTTTTTTTTTTGGGAAAGAAAGTGCCTGATTTCCCATGCCCATTTAATCTTTTAGCTATGTGGTTGACAGTCATGTCATATTCCAAGCGCTGGTGGTCTGGCTGGCCTCCCCAATTCAAGATTCATAGCCCTAGTTGATCTCTCAATTAAAGCAGACGGTTTTCAGTATTGCATATGTACGGCCTAAGAAATCTATCTTTTACTAGCCATGGATGGGTCTACCATATTAAACAGTTGACATTAATTATTCTCATGCTCATTGATTTACATCTGCCATGTCGTCACTGCCAGACAGTCCACTGGGCTGCTGAGATAACAAACAAATTACCGGCCATGGAGACGTGTCTAGATGAGATGTTTTGACATTACCTTTCCTGTTCCCAGACTCAGGATAAACAAAAGAACTTATACTATGCGTCCCAAATACAAAGTCTGACATGAAAGGTCATTCATGAATATGCAGAGGATCTGAAGCACTTTAGAGAGACAGGGATGCCCTGATGCAATAATTCCTTTATTAACGAAATTGGCAAACTAGTTATGCTTGCACAGATACATGACAAGAATTTTATTAGAGCTTCTTTTTTCACAGTTGTGCCATCGTAGACAGTCTCCATTAAAGATTTTTTTTATGTGAGCCATTTCTGAGATTTACCGAGTTTTATAGCACCTTCACAAAAAGCATAGGGGACATACAGTATACTGCTCTTCTAATGGACAAGCTTGCAATTTCGCAAGTTAATGCAACCACACTATATGTAATTGATGGGATGACTTCTGCTCTAGGGAGCAGCTTGGCATCTAGTAATGGAAATATAGCAACGGAATCTTTTATATAATGTGTGTGCGTAGTGAAGATCATGAAAAGCAAGTGTTTTATTCAGTCTTGTATATCATAATAGAGTTGGAACATGTTTAAATGTATACAATTCCTGATTTATTTACTGTATGCTGTGGTTGTTAGTGTTAGTGCTTCTTGATTAGCTATATTTTCACAAATCAAAACATCTAATTCAGTTATAGGTTACATTTACATCCCACTTGAATTTTCAATTCAATAAATTAAGAGTTAATTTTTCAGGTCACATAGAAATGATCATAATAATGTATTAGCTTTCTATTACAACTCAGTAAGCTAAGTGAATTGATGCAAAGCTTCACGTAACTTTTTAGTGAACAAAACTACAATAAAAATGTGTAGCATAACTGAAATTGATGTGGATTTTGGATCATGATAGGGCATGGTGAAAACACAGGATGACCCTTGACATGTCTCTCGCCCTGTCATCTTTTCTCTTTTTTTGAGAAAGAAATGTTTTGGAAATGATCTTGCGGTTGTGAATGTGGTCAGTTTTGATCTCAGTATTTTTCCCCAGGCTGGACAGGTTTGATTGATTTCTGACACTGAAGGTGGTATCCACATTATATATAACAAATATTTGTAGATGGGCTCTTTTGACTATTCAGAACATCCAAGCATTGCAACAGTGAGTTTTGCACATGCAACCACCACTACTTTTTCCTTCATAAGTGTACAAATCTGCCACTTTCCCTGTTTACTTGTCTACGGATTAAACAAATTTGCATTCGGGACCATCTAATTGGCTAATTAGCATAGACGCATATTCTAAATTTTGTAATGCAATTTTAATCAAATCTTAGGCCTTGAAGTTTAGAGGAGGAAACTGGATGGTGGTGTCTGGGGGAGGACGGTGGGTGTAGGAGAACTTTGAGAGTTCAGGCAGCTCAAAGCTTCATACCATGCCAAGCAAACTCATTAACAGGCCTGAAGAAATAGCTGCAGCTAAAATTAAATGATCAGGTGACTATTTATTTATACAGTAAATAGGTTAATATGTTTCTGAGAAAAAGAAAAAAAAATTTATTGATTATAATATCTAAATATATATTCCAGTGAATAATAAAATATTTTTATTTATTTTTATTAAAACGTAATAAGAAAAATAATATCAGATATATTCAACATGCAAAGATGATGTAAAATACATTGTATTTTTAAATATTTTATTTTATACTCAGGTTAAATAATTTAGGTCACATGTAAAATTCTTAAAAATATTAGTCTTTTTTTGGGGGGATCCAAAAGGAGTGTGAGTGGCAGGCTGTTCTCTGGCTGAACTCTGATCCTCATCATTGGCTGAAAGCCGACAATGAGGCTGTGAGAGAGCCTGCCGCCTCTTTTGTGGAGGCCTTGGGGACTAAACAACGGCGCAAGTACAGTAGACAGTTTCCATGGCAATGGAACGGGTGGCAAACGGGGTGGACAAGGACTTTAGTGGTGGTGTGTGAATGAAGGAGAGGGACAGGCCTCATCAGAGGACCTTCAGTCAAACCAGATTGTTAATTGCAAACGGAATGTTTGAGAACATTGCACTCGCTCATTTGGTCCTGTCTGTGTGACAGTGTTTGAAAGGATGCTGCTCTTTTACATCCCCCTTACAAGCTTTTATTCTCTTTGTTGTGTAAGTGCCTGCCCTTTTAAAGAGTTCAAGGCTATGCATCCGTTAGTTGTGCATTATCCATCTTTTAGACTGACGCGGCCGAGTCAACAGTCTTTTGTCTTGTGTCTGCTGGTATAATCCTCAAACGGTATAATCCCAGACTGCACTCCATCAGCGGACCGATGCGACACAGAAAGCACATTTAAGACCCTTCATCACTAAACCAATGACTCATTGCCCAAAACAGAGAAAACACTTATTACTCATAACTACAAGCCATTTTTTTACTTCTATAAATAGACTTCATGATGGCTTGAATGAATTACTTTTGCTACGTTGCTAAAATTAAAGAGCGTAAAAACCCATGTAACAGTTTACATGATTAATTTCCTCTCAGGCTCTGGTATTTTAAGCCTAGCCCAAATATGTCCAGTTTTTGTGTTTATAGTAACTACAATGGTTTTGTTTGCCAGCTGTGAACAGTGTGTTTTTAGGTGG